GTCTGACCTGGTATGATTTTTTAGATTTTATAGGGTAGTTGATACTAGGTGAGTAGTTGAATATTTGTGTAGTTTGTAAGCTATTCAATTGTATAAATATTTGCATAGTTTGTAAAAGTTTTTATATTGTTAGGTTTTGGGCAGTATTTGATTAGTTGATTAATTGTTGTACCAAGATATTTGGTAGGTATAGACCATGGGTTAGGTAGGTTAAGGATTGTAAGATTGAGTTGGTGTATTGTATAGATTACTTGTACAGTAAATGTGCAATCATATTGGTAAGTAGTATAAATTGTGATGACTGTAGTATATTTATTGGTATCATAGCAGCATTTTGTAGATTCTGTACTTGTTATCTTGTTTGTATTCTTGTTTTGGTTAATATTATTATCTGTATTGAGTTCTGCTATTATGTTATAAGAAACAAATAGTAAGTTTTTTGAATATTTTGATGCCACATAGGATTTTTGTGTATCTTCATAAGCTTTAATTGTTATCTCTAGATTACAGCTATAAGTACTTCTGGGTTGCTTGGCATTAATATTTACAGAGTTGAATTTCAAGTTTGTAATATTAAATAAGATTGATTGGTTAGCCTTATTGTACTTGTATATCTATTGTGCAGGAAATTTAACCAAGTTTGAAATACATCCCGATCTTGTAAAATTAGTAGTAAATATATATCTGTTAGCAAAGTCAGAAACAATGAAAGAAACAGTAAAAGTGAGTTTTGTCTAGTCTTTAATAATAATATTAATAAATTTTTTGGTATATTCTGTTAATGAGTCTTTTTGTTGTATGCTTGCAGTCATTATTGTAACCTTTGGGCTAGTTGTTTTGCAAGAGAAGCAGACTAGAGGGTATATAAAAAACCTACTTTGTTGTCTGGTGGTTTTGGGGTATGTTGTGCAGAAGTTTGCATTCGGCTATTATCTGTATTGCTGCCAATAGTTTGTAAGTTGTCCTGAAATGTTTTTTGAGACAGGGTTGATAAATCTATAGAATCTTTCCTACTTGCAGATAAAAAGTTGTGAGAAGTATTGTTTATCTGTCCTTCATCCAGTAGTTGTTGCACTGGTAGAAATTTTTTAGAAATTTTATTGTTTTATTATATTTTTAGCTATACTAGAAAAGACCTAGGGTACATTTAGTTAGTACTTTCTTGAGTTTTCTTCATTCAGGGTTTTTTCTCTTTTGCTCTGGTTTTATTAAAATTGATCTGCAGAAAGAGTAGATACAATTAATCTTTTCATATACTCTATTGTCTGTTTACAATAATCAAAGAATTAAGCTAATAAATAGAATTGTTCAAAAAAATCTTTGAGGCTTGGGTTAATTTATAAAAATAACTCTTGCATTTTGTCAAATAAATATATAAGACTTTCTTTTTGCACTTGTTTTTTCTTATAAAGATTTTTGCTATCGATTTAATAATTCTAATAAGGTTAATTATACTTACTTCTTTCTTATTTACAACCTTTATATTCTCTCTTATTGTAGTTTTTACATTTCTTATTTTTATATTTTTTTTATTTTAGCTTCTATTTCTTTTTCAATAATATTTTCTATATTTACAATTACTTTATTATTATCTTTAACTAAATCTTCTATTATATCTTCTATTTCTTCAACTATATTAGCTTTAACTAAATCTATATCAGCTTTAGCTATATTTGCATTAGATTCAACTATGTCTACATCTGCATTAGCTTCAACTTCTTCAACTGAGAATTTTGTCTGTTTGACTTTTCTCAATTGATCTTTACAGA